CCCCCCCTGGATGTTTTCTTATTGGCAATACACGAGTGTTTCTATTCATTTATTCGTATTAAGTTATTAGGGGGAATAAATTTTGCATCGATCATATACGTTCAAATGGCTAATATTAAGTACCTTATGTATTGATAAGAGAGAATTTTTAAGATAAATTTTTAAATTTTAATTCTCTATCGATGCTCACTAATTTGTTGATGCAATTATCAAATTAAATTTCTTTCGCGTGCAATTAAAGAACTAATTTAATTATGTGAAAATCTATGAAATCAATGTTGTCGATAAGATTATTTTTCATTTCATCTCCGTTTATGAAAAGTTATTAATTGCATACTATTATAGTCGTGTGTGATTTCGTCGATGATTATTATAATTAATAATGAATTTTCATTTATAACAACAACTTCATGACAAGTTCATAATGCCGCGAGATTGCCATGCAATTCCTTAAATTGATAATGAATTTACAATGATAATTATATTTGTGTGAGCTTTACGAATATTGAATGAAAATTTTTAATATTAAATTTTTCAAACGAGTTAGATTGTTTATTAAACCAAAAATAATATTAACATATTATACAGCAATACAGCAATATTGATAATCATATTGTAACGATAATTCTAAAAAATGACCTTTTGATCTATTATTTTCATAATTAATCTATAAAAAAAAAAAAAAAAAAAAAAAAAAAAGGTTATAAAAAAACGCAACTAACAAGATATTTTTAAAAAAATTAAAAAATTATAGAAAACAATTTTTAACCTCAAAATTAATAAATGCTCGATTTACATGATGGCGCGTAGCATTTAATGGAAACAAAAGAAATTATTATTTTTCTTTTACTAAAGAATTTCAGGTCGAAGATAAAAGATATTTTGAGACGATGAACAGATAATTCTCATATCATGAATATAAAATTGTACTGCTTAGAAAACCTAAAGAATAAGATAGAAAATATTCCGAGTCAAGTGCAATGTTGAAATAATAAATTTATAGAAATATTCAATAACTATTTAACTATTTGGATGCTTACAATCCACTTTATTGATTAGTCGTCTATTTTTACAAAACTTACGTAATTTCATTGCAGAAAATGAAAGCATATAAATTAACCAATAAACAAAATATCAATTATAACGTAATAATTAGACTATTAAATAAATGTAAGAGTTGCTAGTATGTATTCGCGAAATCTAGACAATTATTCCTTACAATGAACAACGATTCTTTTCGAATTATTAATAACCGAGTAAAATTTCAACAATTTCTAATTGTGAGGTTAGTTCAATTTAATATAACATGACATTCACATCGCGTGCATACATATATATATATATATATATATATATATACACATATATATGTAATAATAAAATAATAAACGCAATCATAAACATGCATATTGCAACATATTAAAAACATTTCCTTCATCTTATATTTTTATTGAATAATGTATTCATTTTTAAATATCCATATCATTATTTTTGAATAACATTTAATCGTACTTATATAATTGAATTTAATTACATTATTTTATAATCAAAATTTTGTATAAAATATACAACTTTAAAATAAAAAAAAATCTTGAATTCTTTTAGCGAGGACCATAATCAAAGGCTTTAATATAATTTTGCCAAAATGAATAGGTAATATTGTATTGAATATGATATTTAAACTATTTTATTTTTTATTACAGATTTATAGTTTTTCTATAATAATAACAGCAATAACTTTGAATAATGTATTTAATAAGAATAATTGTATTTGTAGATGTGTTCTAAGCATCGAACAGTTTAGGTATCATTTAAAAAATAGTTATAATATACGTCAAGTTTATTCAAGTTGGGATAAAAACAGAACTAAGGAATACGAAGGCAGAAAATTAGTAGGGTATGTTAATTATTATAATCCTTAAATTTATACGTATTATTGTTTGATTAAGATTTTTGTCTCAGATTTTCTGTAGAGCAAATGTTTGATGTTGTATCAGATGTACAAAATTATAAGAATTTTGTACCATTTTGTAAAAAATCTGAAGTAATTTATGAGGAAAAGAGAATGTTTTTAACAGCCAACCTAGTTATTGGATTTCCACCGTTAAACGAAAGCTATGTGTCCAATGTGACGATGGTGTACCCTTCGCTCGTAAAAGCTGAGTGCAGAGATGGAAAACTATTCGATCACTTGAACACTCTGTGGATTTTCACACCTGGCTTAAAAAACAATCCGCAAACATGTGTCATTGATTTTTCTTTGTCCTTTGAATTTAAATCATCGATACATTCACATTTATCAAATTTATTTTTTAACGAAGTTGTTCGACAAATGGAGAAAGCATTTGTCGAAGAAGCGAAAATGAGATACGGTAAGCCCAGTATACAAACTGTTCAATTAAATAGATGATGTATAGTAAGAGAGCAGATTTAACTTATTTGAGAAGCATTTTATAATTTATTTGTATAATAAACCTATTTGATATTTACGTTTACCTGTTTAGCAAAATAATTTCAACAAACGCCGTAGTACATTGCATAAAAATATAAAATATGCTATTTTATTGAAAAAAATTTTTTTTAATGTTTTGATAAAAGAAACATATGTTAAATATTTTCCGAATGTTTCAAAAAATTTTTTATATATTTTTTTAAAACGTGTCAATTTTATATTTTAGATATAAAATGATTTAGTAAATGTGCTTAAATAAATTCAGACTGTTTTATTTGAAAAATTTGTCTTTTGAATTCACGCATTGCCGTAAGGACTGAAAAGTTCATGTTTAATTTGTTATATTGCGTCTATTGTATTAACAATAAATTGAATTGTTATGTAAATAAATAATTGTCTCTCTCTCTCTCTCTCTCTCTCTCTCTCTCTCTGTCTCTCTTATATACTTTGTATATTTATCTTTTTCACAAGAATAGATTATTCCCTGTAGTATTATGTCAATTTAGTAGTAATTAAGAATTAAGTTAAGAATTGCAAATAAGCTTATATTTAAATAATTGACTATAATAATTATTTGTATTAATACATTGACAGAAAATGTATAATAATTACAGGTATTTGCATTAATGTATATTTTTCTGTTAATAAAGAAAGTGCAATTAATTATTCTTATAAAACCAATTCGTTAATTTCAGTTTTGTAAAAAAAAAAAAAAACAAACAAACAAACAACAATTTCTTCACGATATTAAAATAAAATTGTAAATACAATTAAAATTATTGAAACTAAATTGTTAACAACTGAATAATCTCTTTGAGCAAGCAATAAAGTGCTTAAGAAGTATTGAAAGAAATTTTAAATAGTCATTTTCTTTAATTTGACGTCATTGATTTCTATATTAGTAAATGCCATATATGATTGAGATAGATATTTTTTTAATTTTAGAATTTAGAATTATATATTTTGTAGTTTGAAACAAATGGATAGATTAATAAATCATTGTATTTATTCTAATATATGTGAATCATGAGAATTATACATAGAATTATAAATTTCTAAATCCACCAAATGAATTATATATGACAACATGATTTCACAACATTAAAGTGCAGTTAGAGTTTGAATTTAATAGAAATTTTACGTTACAATAATACGATACAAATAAATTTCATTCAATTAATATTAATAATAAAGTAATATTAGAACGAAGTTCGAATAAAAAAATAGATAAGAAGAGAAAAAAATGAAAAAATTACCTAACTATTATTATTAAGAAAATATAAATTTTAAGAAATAATTAAAATTTTGAAGGTAAATTAAAAAGAAATTAACTATTTTTTGTAATTAACATAAATTAATAGAAATTGAAATATAACTAATTCAATTATTTATATAATACATGAGATAAATAAAATATGAAAGGTTTATTAAAATTATTTTTTATTCTGTAACCGACATAATAGCGATATAAAGAAAACTGTCAAGACCTATTATAATGGCTAAAATTATTATAAAATAATAATAATTTCCCGCTTGTATAAATCAATACTTATGCAATCTTTTAATTATAAATACAATTTACAATGTATATTTGATGTCCGCTTATGGATTAGGATATATATATATTTTTTTTTTTTTTTTTACACTTATTCCATGTAATTTGTTCAATGTGAATGTTCAAAAAAAAAAAAAAAAAAAAAAAAATTACGACTATTAAAGAGTCCCTTAAACTATTAATTAAGAGAGTCGGATAATTTGATCTCGATATAGCCTAATTGTAAATTTAGAGAAAAATATTATTTTGTGCGATGGTTTCCTGCAAAAATGGAATTCAATATTTATATTTTAAATTTATACTTTGCCAATTGTAAAAAATACATAATTCTATATAATTGTCGACTGCTTATTCATTTATTAAGTACTATGAAATTAAGCACAAGTGAACGTATTATTAATTTCTCTCCTTAACTTGTCTCGTATAATATTTGAATTTATCCGTTACCAATGAACGTTCCGTCGAACTTTGCAATACATTCTTATTAATTAAACTATTATTATTATTATTATTATTATTATTATTATTATTATTATTATTATTATTATAGTAGAACAAATCGTGTTCGACTTGTTTATTACACTATTAAAATTACGTATGAGATTATATACCATTTTAATAATAATACCATTATTGTTTTATTGATTATTTTCTTTTTGTTTGAAAACCATACTTGCAATACCGGATTATTGAATAAGCATAGTATTGGCCATCTAATGGGGCCAGTAATTGCTGTAATAATATTTGCGACATAAAAACTCGAAAATAATTCATGTAAGCTGGCTTTGTGACTCTGCGGCTACCGATGGTAAAGAAGTTTGTATTTTTTCTTTTTACAGCTTCGTTGAAAAGCCCGTAGGTTCGTGACAGTCGATACTAATTCTGCTTAACGCCGTTTATATAAATAATGAAGAAATAATTAAGTTAATCTAACCTTTCTTCGTAATTTCAAAACATTCGGCATTTAAGAATGGAAGCAAAGGCGGAAAAAATCGTTATGCCTGGCGATATAATAAAAGATACACAGTTATTAAATAAGAAACAAAAAATTATATTAGGCCCTGGTTTACGAACAGACGGTGAAACAGTATATGCATGCAAAGCAGGGATCTTGAAACATAGATCAAATGTCTTTTATGTTGATAATTTTCAAAAGAGGTATTTTTTTTTTTAAAGAAGTAATGATCGCTTGTGATTGTCATTTTAATTTTTTTTCTTTTTCACTTTAAAAATAGATACATTCCTAGTCAGGGAGAGAATGTTGTCGGAATAGTAACACAAAAAGCAGGAGATATTTATAAAGTCGATATAGGAGCTAGCGAGCAAGCCTCTCTTTCATATTTGGCTTTCGAAGGCTCCAGTAAAAAGAATCGACCAAATATTCAAATTGGAGATATTGTTTATGCAAAACTTTTAGTTGCCAGTAAGGATATGGAACCAGAAATTGTGTGCGTCGATTCGTTTGGTAAAAAAGGAAAGCTGGGAGTATTGAGCACGAATGGAATGTTGTTTACGTGTTCCTTGAGTCTTGTTAGGAAGATTCTTAAGCCCAACTGTCCGTTATTACGCTTATTATCCGACGAACTGAAGTATGAATTAGCAGTAGGAATTAATGGAAAAATCTGGATAAAATCGAAAACAAGCGTCGAAGACACCATCGCAGTTGCCAATGCAATATTGGCAGCCGAATACACAGTGCCAAGCGAATTTCCACAGTTGTGCGATAGCATAATGAAATCTTTAGTTAAACTGAAATAAGATATAGGTTTAAATAAAACTCATGTTTTACGAATGATTTTATATTTATTGTACTAGTATTTGTTATGAATTTCTGTAAATAAATTTCCACAGTTTTTTTCAATGACAAGGTATGATTATAGAATCGATCATAGTGACAAAATGCGGTATGAAAGATGTAGCATACATAGTGCATTTATAAAAATGCAAGACTTCTTAATGATTGACTACTTCAACATCGTGAAAGCAGAATCACTTTAAGCGATACATTAGAGTTATTTATTAAAATTACTTTTATAACTGTCTTTCACAATGATATATAAAGTTATGATATCGAATTACAACAATTGGATTGTTCAAGGAAATTTTAAGATATTGAAGTACCGATTGGCTTTGTTCAAGCATTCAAATTTTAAAAACAAAATTATAAAATAGTCTTTCGAAGAATTTATAATAATGTATATCTATAATTTTGTGTTTGTGAGAAAAAAGAATTGTAGAAGTTTAAACAGCAGTTGCAATTGTCCGAACTAAACGTTGAATTACGGTAATTATCATAATTGTACGAGAATGAGGTGTTCTAAGCCATGTCAGGCTTAAAAAATATTATTTTGAATAGGAGATATTAATATTAATATGCATATAGATAAGCACTATTATAAAATTCTTAAGTGAATTTTAATTACAATTTACTTATAAACGATACAAACTCATTTTATAATAAATTTATAAATATATAATAAAGCATCGTGTGTTTTTATTTATGAATGAACATGAATGTCTTATTAGGATGACAATCGATCGATTGATTTATGATACACAAGTTTTTTCAAAACCTTTCTGATATGTGCCTAATACTCGCTCACAAAGCACAGCAGTGACAATTTTGTGTGCATATGTAGCAGGGATTGCAAAGTAAGAAAATTGTTGTGCACAACCGTTGGAATAAGAATTCCTAAGGTAATAGAGCCTTAGTGATTCGTCCTTTACACATCAACCCTTTTCTCTTTTTTCTTTCATCTGAATCACATTGATAGTTAAACTTATATCTATTAACTAAAATATAATAGTCTGATCATTAAATTCTTATCATAAGAAAAAGCGCACCAAGCACTTTGTACTTACAGTGGAATGTGCAGTATTTTCTTTATTAAAATAAAATATATTCATCTGAAAATCAGTGGTCAAATAAGAAGGAGCTAAGGAAAATATAACTAATAATAGAAATTTTCTCATTACGTTAACAATTAGAACAAACAATTTATAATCCACTTTTATATATATATACACACCAATATATCAAGTCCAAAGATTTTCAGATATTTATTATGTTTATAAATAAAATATATCTTTGTTCTCAAAGGCTATATCTGTCTATCATCATATAATCATGACACATGAACATACAAATATATGTGTGTCACGACATGTATTTCATAAAGAATATACACGAGATTAGTATTTGAAAATACATATTACGACTATTCTGTCATTGATATTATTGTATGGTAGTTGAGTTTCTATACTATAGATGGTTTATATATACCATATTAGTTGCGAGTAGGACTAATTTAACTCAAATTTCCATCATTGATTCTCAAAGCATGTATCTCAAAGACAAAGATGAAACGAGCTTCTGGCTTTATTCGGTTACTCCTATGCATTGGCTTATTTTCTTTATTACGCCAATAAATTATAGAGAATCGATAGCAACTAATAAAGATTAATAACGAAATACAAAACACATAACAAAAAACAAACAATTATAATAAATAATTAATTAATCAACGTCTTATGGCATTAGCTGTGCTGGGGAGGAGTTTCACGACGTTAACAGATTTTTCGTACTTAACGACGGTATGACAAATTGAGCCAATATAGTCAACCACGATTGACGAGACTGTTTTCTCAAAATATCACTAAACTAACTTTAATGTATCCAATTAAAATATATATTTTAGACAATAATAAATTACATCTTCGTTTAAAAGCTTCAATTCAAATTAATTAATGCTTTTTAATAAGTATACCATTACGATTTAATAAATTGCGATGAAATAAATGTTGTGCGGCACAAAATTTTGACAATATAACTTTACTTATTGATTAAAACGTTAATTTTAATAATGCTCAAGTTGTCATATTCACAGGTAGCAATGAAGGAATTTTGAAAATAATGGTTTTACCAGCAACCATAATAGTAATCTGTTATATATGCTACCATACTTTGTTTAATACAAATATTATAGTTCGCTAGTTAAATACATCCGACTACAAAAATGCATTGGTTATTTCTAAGCATAGATCTCTTCTTATTCTTCTTCTTCTTCTTCTTCTTCTTCCTGTTTTTGTTTTTGTTTTTGTTTTTGTTTTTGTTTTTGTTTTTATTTTTTATTTTTCTTCTCCCCCCCCCCCCCCCTCCTCCGACCCACATTTTGAACGCTGTTTACAAGTTCTCTATTTTACAAATCGAATCGCCAGACACCTATAGAGAACGAGAAATGATGTCTGATAAATAAAAAGTGTAAAAGACTTTCAAAATATTCCAAGGTATTTTTTATCAGGTAGGTAGGTATTCCAGACTATAATGATGATATGAATGAAAATATCTGCCACTTTTACAAAATAATCGTAAAGCTTATTATCAAGACGTTCAAAGCGAATAGTGAAAATCTCTTAGAAATATCTTAACTTATTAGAAACTATGACGAATATTAAAAAATACGACGATTATTTCTATTTTTATTTTTCATCTTTTATCTTCTCTCTTTAAATCGACACAATTAATATGGTAAATTGTTTTCCGTCGATATTTCAATTATAATAATACTGAAGAAAGACGCGCATCTTTTAATAATTCCCACTCAATTGCTAAATACTGAATTTCTCTGTTATTATAATGAAATCGCAATGGCAGATAATTATAATTGTCTCGATGAAATGGATCTAAATAACCTACTCACTACGCATACGCCGACCTCTTGGTTCCATAATTACAAGAATAATTTTCTTTCCGTTGATTAAAAGTTACTCTTTACTTTGTTGCTAAATAGACAATCTAAAATAAAAAGACGTTGTCTTCGTTTATTTAAAAAATAAAAAGCACCACTAAATTAATACTAAGCAAACAATAAAAGTAATTATTAGAGTATAAATAGATAACAGCAACAACAACAACAACAACAACAACAACAACATAATTATGTACGTATAAGCTTGTAATTCAAAAAATAATCCATAGAAAATTAGTATAACGGATATGATACGTGTATGATCGTCACTAACTTTGTAACTCAGGTGTGAAAATTAGCTGATTTTATTAATAAGTATGAAAATAAACAATAACACATTTGTACGATTTTGCATAAAAGACTGAATCGAGGAAAATACGATTGCTATGATGAAATCATCTCCAAGGAGCACGAGATTTTCTCAGCTCATCACGAAGCTCTCAGTATCAAAGGATAAAACTTTCCACTATACGTATATATATATATATATATATATATATATATATACGAATATATAGGTAAATAGTTTATCATTGCATTGTTTTTTTTTCCCCCACATGTACTTATTTAATATATGTGTATAAAAAATTGTCTTTGCTTATTAATAGCTAAAATATTATGATGCCTTGGCTATATATATATATATATATATATATATATATATATTAAATTTTATATTATCGTTATTACTATTGCTATTACTATTATTATTGATTTATTTATTTATTTATTTATTTATTTATTATTGTTGTTGTCTCTTTTCTTTCTTTTTTTTTTTTTTTTTTTTTTTTTTTTTTTTTATCGTTTTCATTATTCATTTCATTTAGCATGTATATTTATTTTACCATTCACAACACAGAGTGCATAGTACGAAGCTATACAGAATTTGTTCGTCCCCGTTGTAAACTTTGTAAGATTTACAAAATATTACGAAAGGAGAAAGAAAGCATTGCGAAAAGCTTCTATGCAACAATGCACAACCAATTATTATACAACCTGCGTGCACCAAAGTGTCTTAGCCGTTTCGTTTTTTCGTTTCTTCACAATCATAATTAGATTAATTAGTTTCGGCAATAATCCAATAGGAGAAAATCTAATAATACATGTATCGTACAACCGAATGAGTGAAACTGCATCGTCTTTTTGTTTTTGTTTTTGTTTTTGTTTTTGTTTTTTGTTTTTTTTTGTTTTTGTTTTTTTTTTTTTTTTTTTTTTTTTTTTTTTTTTTTTTGTTTTCTAGTGACAGTTATATTATTACGAATATAGTCGAGTATCATGCGCAGTTGAAAAATATGAAAAACATTAGCTACAGGTGCTTCATAATAATACAATGTATTTTCATGAAAAATGCTTAACATCCTCAACGGCATTATTACTCGAGTTTTTTTGTGCTACTGTTCGTCTTCATTTACATCAACAGCCACTACAATCTAGCCCATGTCAACAAATTTATATAATACAATAATATTTAAAAAGTGTTTTGTAATAAATAGACATTTTCATAATAGAAACACTAATAAAAAACAAAGTGTATTAATCATTATTAATTGGAAAATATTCAATACGAATATTAACTAATATAATAGAATATCTCAAAGACATTAAAATATCTGTACAGACAAAGTAGTACAGACAAATTATGGCGAATAATCTAGATTTAATATTTTGACAAATGGGGCATCAAAAGCTTCTTTTTCTAACACATTGTCAATATTCTATCACTGGTTGTAAATTTTTTTGCCAATTTCCACTGTAAGCCACTGTTTCCAATATTTTTCATTAAAATATTCTTATGTTCTTCCAATTAATGAATGCTATAATTGATGTTTACATATTATAACATTGATATGGTTATCATTCAACACTTGTACTAAAAAGTATGATTTATATTTTTGAGAATACATTAATAGAATACATCAATGAGATAGCATTGTTATTTTAAAGTAAATAAGAACATAATTATAAAAGAAACAATTTCATCGTCACACACCCACACGGGCGCGCGCGCGCGCGAACACACACACACAGCTGCTATTTTCAATCAAATCAAGAAAGTGTCACAGTGGCGAACTATTTTTCTTATAAGTTGCATTCGTATTACGCAGTCTAGGATAGCAACTATTGTCCGTTAACTATCTGAGGCAGAATTGGGTGTCCTTACTTAAAATCAATGTCATTACGATTGTAAAACTATTACTTTCATCGTTAAAAACAGTATTGAATACGTCTAATAAGTTATAGTAAAAACGCCTACGGTCTTATTATTATTATTATCTTGATAGGATACGATGTCCTTGAATACTTTGTTCATACGACTATCGAGACTCGCATCTGCCACACTAACTTTTTACGATCATATATCCTTATGCGTCCAATTCGATAATCATCGTCTGTCTCGATCATAAAGATCAAACACCTATTTCATCAACATTAACTTATATTTCACATATAACTTGGAATAATAGATGCCACTCGGTAATGTGATGATATTCCGTTAGAATTGCACACTATTAATAAAATATAGTTGAGCTTGCAAAAACTACAGAGGTTTGCCATTATCGGTAAGAATATTTGCGTTATTCCGCTATTCCCTTTTCTCACGCCTTTAAAGGAAATTGTGCGGATTATTATTTGTCTAGATTTACTTTGATACAGTTCGATTCTTCAGCCACTTATTATTTGTGTGTGTGTGTGTGTGTGTGTGTGCGCGCGCGCGCGCGTGGCTCATACAAACGCAACTGAAGCGAATAGAAAGCTCTGGTGATTATGATTGTGAATGGAATGCAAACTTTTCTTGAAATTCCGATCCTCACAGAGACTTACGGTATATATCAATACATCGATTAGTTTAGAAAATTTTAAATTAATAATGCATCAAGCTTACGTGCATATTGTATTAGGTGTCGATCGCGGCTCAACGACATTATATAAAATTATATCAATTAAATTAATGTTAATTCAAGATTCTTTACAAAATAAAGTCTTTAATGCCCAAGTTTAGTGCCTTGAGCATTTAATCGACGTGTCATTTAAAAATTTCGTTTTATACTACGATATGTGCATCCTTTCTTGCATCACCTCGGAATTTTCTATTGAAATAATTGAAAGCGAAATAAGGTTTACATGAAAAGTAATTACGACTCGATGAAATTGAACGGAAAGCAGTCTGTCTCTGCTCGTAAAATCGTGAATTACCCTTCGACATTCGTTCATGATTGAAGAAACGAGAGCCATTGAAGAAAAAAGGAAATAAAATGTATTTTTTAATAAATTGAATTTTCTTTTCGTTTTCTTTTTGTTTTTGTTTTCATTTATCGACTCGGGAATCTTCCAGTGGATACTACATAATTACGTAGTTTTCGAAAAAGAGAGCTCAAATCCGATGCTTTTTCACGCAGGAGTAAGGAACGCATTTTATTCTCGATCATTGAGTTGTTGCTTAAGCTTTTATTACGACGTCAATCATTCAGCGCAGTTTTGTCATTATTTCGGTAAAAAAATCCCATTAGTCTACGTACGTTCGTTTTCTCATCTCGTTTACAAAAAAAAAAAAAAAGAAAAAAAAATAGAAGAAACGAGTGCAAACGTTACGTTATTCTTCGCTGTTGTTTCTTTTTTTACATTTTTATTTTTTACGAAAATCGCGAGACCACCCGTGCAGCATAAAACGGCAGTAAAAATAACTTTAGCGTACCGCATGGATTTCTCCGATGGGCAACGATGATTCACTTTGACGAGTCAGAGTGGCGCGATGCCTTTATTTTATTTCTATTATTATTATTTATTATTTATCGTTATTATTATTATTTATTATTTATCGTTATTATTTTGTATTATTATTTATGTATTTATTTATTATTTTTATTATTATTATTTTCACTTTTATATAATTGTACAAAAAATGTCTCACTTTCTGCATGATGTCGATATTCAACTAATTGGTATCAGATTTCGTCAATTTGTTTCACTCTAAGCTATGCAATTTAAAGCTACATGCCAGCATCACTAGGCACTTTGTAATTAAAATCCTAATTAAAATAAATTTTTCAATTATTTTTCAGCGAATATATGGATTCTTCAAGATTCATAATTATATTCGATCAGTCAATGAGGACATTTGAAAATCCTATATCAATGAACCGTCGTTCACGATAAAACCAACTAATACGCAAATATCATTAAATGATACGTATTGTTAATGATCTCTAAGCGAAGAATAAATAATTTTATAAGAATAATAAATTTTGTTTGATTGAAAGTATCGTTAGATGAGAAGGCTGCCAATTTGTCGTCATTTTACTCTCGTCACTCCTCGGAACGTGCACTCTTTTTCTTCATTACTCATTTAAAATCGACTAACGCCTTTATCTTTATATAATATTTATAAACAAATATTAACGACAAAACATTAACAGTATCCGCCGTTATTATCAAACCTTGCAACTAGAATTATTCAAGATAGAAATAAAGGTACTACTGAATTACTAGCATAATTTCTCCGCTCTTGGGTTGCAAAAAATTTTATCTAAATCCAAATGTCAACCAATGATTATTCCCATAAATTGCAATAATCGTAACTGAAATTACGTAACAAGAGAGCTAAATGCTCATGCAGAAAACGGAGATTGCGGCTCATTGATATTTAACATCATGGATCAACGCAATGCTTTCGACAATCCGAAATCGTCCTCGGAAATCCTCTACTATCCTACTAGCCACGAATTCATCTATCATCTATCATCTATCTCCTTCTATCACACGTCCGTGGAAGTAGCCCCATGATAAAGCTCGGTCATTGAGCACCAGTGATTACAATATTCAACCGAGTGTACGAGGCACAAACGACGCACGAATTAAAAAAGAACGAAAGAAAAGCAAAAAAAAAAAAAAAAAGTCTCTGGTCCAATATGACAAAAGCTATGTGACAATATCGTTTTGAAGCTCATCCCTTACGTAATCAGCGACCTCGTTACAAAATCAATCATTGAAAAAAAAAAAAAACATAATAAAGATAAAGGGAGCTCTTCTTTCTCGGCTCTTCCTTCCGCATCCACTTCAAGCTCCTCCCCTCTCGTACATATTGTCCAAAATATAAAGTGTTTCGCTATCGGCAGTCTGTTAATAACTTACTTCGTGGGACAATCGGGGACTCGTCCTCGATCAGGCCCGAGCACGTGGACACGCAGCGCGTTATTAGCGCGCCTCGTTATCTCTTGCACGGCCGCTTAAAGCCTAAGTGAATATCAGTCGCTAAAGTCGTCTTGGCTGCACGACGGTGTTGTTGTTTAGGCGCGTCGTCGTCTGATTGTTGAAGTTCTCGTCCTGCGGTATGCGTTCCGTCCTCTCGTCAAAGAAGCCCGGATTCAGTATTATGTTGGGCACCAGCTCAATCACTTCCTGCTCCTCCAGCTGCGCTGCAATTTCGGAGCGGAGATTAATTTTCATTGGTCTGATCCACGAGCCATATTAGCTTCTACTCTCTCTCTCTCTCTCTCTCTCTCTCTCTCCCTCTCTCTCTCTCTCTCTCTCTCTCTCCCTCTCTCCCTCTCTCTCTCTCTCTCCCTCTCCCTCTCCCCCCCCCCTCTCTCTCGCTCTCTCTCTCTCTCTACTTAACTATCTAACTCGCTCTCATTCGCTCTCGCTATTGCACCGGCCGAGCTACTTACGTAAGTGCCAAGCCTGTCGTCGCAATTGTCAAAATAAGGATCGTAAGGGGATCTCTACAACGAGAGGACCAATTAAGATGCAAATAAATTAATCGGTTGGTTACAAAATCAAATGAAATAAAAAAAAATACTATATCTACATATACGCACGCGCGCACACAGAGGCGTGCATATACCTCTTAGTAAATCGTAATTAATTTGATGGAACGGTCGAAATAAACTATTCAACAACATTCTTAAACGAAAATAAATTGTATAAATTATTTTCAAAGTATTGAGCTTTAAATAGTTGTTTTCTCATGCTGTACACATTCAACGTCGATGCTTATCGCATCAGCTTATCCGAATAAATTTACAACGCTAACTTATATCTTCGGTTGTTTTCAATTCTTTATTTATATAAGAAACTACGTGCGCTATTAATTATTAAATATCATTCTAAAATCATAATGTATGTAAGCATAATCGTAACGTATAATTTAAGAGATTGTTTAATGTACCAATTGGGGTGCACCTGAAGATTCAATTGACTATATATAAACTACGTGACTAAAGGAAGTTAAATTAAATATTTGTGCAGTAGCCATAAAACGATTGCTCGTCAAAGCTGTCATGTGCGCCATTATTATTTACGCATTATAATTTATATTTAAATGTAATTTGTGAATAAATGTAAATAGGAGTTTTATTATTTCAACTACGTTATTTATCTGCACTAAAGAGTATCTCGGCCATTACGAACTAATTCACCCATTCTCAAATAGGCTACATTCGCTACATTTGAACTACATCTACGTAACCCGAATTTTCTAGATGTACGTACTGGAGTTTTCATTAGATCAAGATGCTCTACATCTAATTTTCAAGTTTCCTCGCACTGTTCAATGCACTATTCGCAAAATATTATAATAACAAATACATAATAAAAACCACCAAAACTTATTACCTTAAGTTTAGGAGAAAGCATCGGAAAGATACACCTTAAATAGCACAAAATTAATATAAATTATTATTAATAATAATAATAATAATAATAATAATAATAATAATAATAATAATAATAATTGATAAATGATAATTGATAATTGATAATTGATAATTGATAATTGATAATTACCGACTACAACATCAATAATAATGATTAGAAATTTGTCTGTAATACTTATAATATTTGAAAGGATAATCGAACGAATGTTGTACCGATAATACGAGCTTGACTCGATCATGATTCGATGATATGGCAATGTAATGCATTGAAAATGATCCATCTCTTCAAATAAGTTTGGTGGTTATAATAATCCATATAGCTTACGTATGACATAAATTATGAAGATAAAAATTTATAAAGTGCAAAGTTTCGTGATAGATTACGAGAGTATAAAATTAATTTTTATCAGTCTCAGTGCCACGCAATATTTAGACATAACAACAACAACAACAACAACAACAACAATAATAATAATAATAATAATAATAAGGAGAGTGAATACGAGAGTAATCATAGTAATCCTTAATCGAGTGCAAAAGTCAAAGTAGCATAAAAGTTTATGTAAAAAGTAGTAGTACTAGGTAATTTTAAGTTCTAGTTGTATTATGCAAAGCGCTTGCAGCCGAGAGAAATTAGTGAAAAAGGTAAAATGGCACTGTGACGGACTGGCGATCAGAGATAATGTAGATTAAAGATTAAAAGTGACTGTTTGAGTGAAGCTAGAGATTAGGGCCGCAGATAAGAGATCGGAGGCCAGGAGTTTTTGTCTCTGCTACTCATTAAATATTCGTTCGTCATGAACGTGCCGTGTCGTTTCGTTAAATTAATCGTTAAATTAAGCTGCGCGATGCACATTAAGTGCCGCGACCATCCGGTTAGCCGAGCCGTTAGTAGCAGAAACAATGAATTATCAAAGAGACAGAGTAGAAGCATAAGCTTTTTCAAATAAAATTACAATAGAATGCTTACAGGGTGCCTTGCACTCCCGATACAACAGGTAGCATGTACCGAACCCAAGAACCATCAGTGTTCCCATAACAATTCCCACTGCTGCCACCCACACGCGCGTATCAAAATTTTCAACTCCTGCCAGCAAGTGTCTTGCTAATTCTGAAAAAAAAGTTCAGAGTTATTACAAGCGGATTTTAACATTGGCAGGCAACAAGAATTCATAGTCCTTATGGAGATGGGAAATTTTCTTAATTCTCGAATTAACTCGAGGCAATAATAGGGTGGTGGGTGGGTGGGGGGGGGGCAAGAGGGTATGATTTGCGTGGCGGTTATTATACCTAATTCTTCGACGCTGTGATGAGTGTGACCTTCTACCTCGACAATGTCTCCTCTTCCAAGTTGGTTGGTCGCCCATACTCGAAAGGAATATGTCGTGTTCGGTTCTAAATGATATACGTCTATTTGCCTCTGTAATAAGAGACGAGTCGAAATTATGGCAAACCTAATATCTCCATCATTGCAATCTCGTGTGAGAGATTTATGAACAAATTTTAAACAATAATAGACGCTAGTAAATTGTAAACGAAAAATAAAAAAAAATAAAAATAAAAATAAAATAAAATAAAAAAAAAAAACAACAACAACAACAACAACAACAACAACAACAAACGAACAAACACAAAACAAAATTAATTCGAAACACCCTCGTGCATTTTTGCATTACGCAAGGCGTAATTGTCCCTTACGGAATTAGGAGGAATGTGCGTAGGAATAATGGGCTTCCAGTCATCGGCCTCGTCACCGGGACTCGGCTTCAAGCGATACTCCGCCGTAAAGTCGATGATGGGATAACCTCCGGTGCCCGCTACTTCCCACAGAATATTCGCCAATATAGTCGACGGCTTAACCCAAACATTGTGCAGAGCTGGAGGAGGCGCTAAAATTCACGCGACATCGTGAAGGAACAAAGATCTCTTTAGCCCCGAGCAGTCAACCTTACGTGCCCTTACTTACTTCTTACTTGGACACTGATCCTATCTCTCACAGCATCGTCGTCCAAAGTACAATAATAATCTCCCGTATCGAATCGACTGACGTTTATGAGCTTCAAAAGACCACTGGGCTCGACCGTCAGCCGCTTGCTCTGACCATCCTCTCGGCCCTCACGTATCCACGTTATCTTGTTGCTTGTCCCAAAAATTTGCGCCCTACCCTCGTTGGAGCAAACGACTGTTACGTTGTCGCCAACATCGACGCTCACGTTGCGCAACGGAACTGGCGCTAGTCCCAGTGCTCCGTGCCAGCCTGCAAAGCATTAATTAATAAATAAATAATTGGCGAGGGATGATGTAGGAATATGTTAAGTTGTGGGTTGCGTCGGGCTCCCCCGTCTAAACGTCTGCTTTTTCATGGCAAAATTCCGGCTTTTCTTTCCTTTTCCTTTTCGCTTTTTTACAACTACATTTCCGAATCTTGTGGTAACTGCACTATATCCTGTGTTTTACACGAGATGTCTGAGATTACGCCCGTCCCTCTCTCTCTCTCTCTCTCCGTGCATGCATTAATACACTCATGTACACGTTGCTTGATACGTAAACGAGTGTAAAAGTATCGATTCTCGTTGAATGTTATTTTCGTTTTTCTTTAGTTTTTTTTTTTTTTTTTTTTTTTTTTTTTTTTTTTTTTTTGGTTTTTTGGTTTATTTAGTAGTCCATATCGTGAAATCGTAAGAAAATTATTCGATAACTAAAGCAAGCCAATGCGACATTATAAGAACGATGTGTCCTTTTAATGAAATTTAAGTCGGGATATCGAAGATCGAAGGTACTTTCATTAACACGCGTTTGTTTAATTTTACAAACTAATTAATAAATTAATTATTAAGAATAAGAGTTTATTCTTATGAAGAGAAGCTAAATGTATGGCTAATGAAAATTCGAATGAACTAGAAAACTTCTAATTAGTTTTAAAAAAATTAATAAAAACAAGAAAAATATAATCCTCAATACATTCGATAAAATTAAAGCATATTGATATGGAAATTAAAATTAAAAAAAAAACAAACAAACAAACAAAGAAGAAGTAATAAAATTCAGCGACTGGCAAGCTGCTGTGGAATGAAAAATTGTTTGAATCACACGAATTATCGAATATTTATTGCTTTATCTTCGTATATTTTTTTAAGTGAAAGCGCCATTTAGTATTTGTTTAAAAATGTATGTATCAATTGTATTCGTTAAATGTTAGTTAAAATTAGAAATTGAATTATTCGAAATTCTTATAATTTACAAATCGAGGATATTCTTTGCGTTACCTCGTCTCATTTGTAAACAAACAACTAATTAGAAGCGCTAATAAACTGTCACATTTTTCACTTGAATTTTACTTGAAAATAAAAGGTATTTTTGAAAAATCATCATTTCCAAAGTCCAGGTACATTGGTATATTATGTATAAAAATGAATTTTTATTTATTTATTTATTTATTTTTTTTTTTTTTTTTTGCTTTAAAAACTTGTTATAAACAAACGTTGTTATGCGGCACATTAATCGAATTGCTGTAAAATCTGCTTTACAAATCGGAATATTCCATTGAATAATAAATTCTTAAGTGTAACAAATTTGTTTCATTAACTTATCTTTAAATTACAATGCGTTTATATTGTACTTAAAGCAATCAAGCCGCGGGCAATCTATACTTCGTTGATAATTGTTTTTATCAATTACACGTTAATAAACGATGCTTAGTTTGTCAATTGTGAATTGTGAATTGTGAATGCGTAGAAAAATTTGCATGCAAAAAAAAAAAAAAAAAAAAAATAAAAAAACATAGCGATGGTAGTATAAAACGGAATAGAGTAGAATAAAATAAAAATGAATGAAACGACGACTGCCATCATCAATAAGGCATCGGCACTTTGATAGAAATACATATTGCTTTGCCGTTCTGAATATAGATATATTGGACTTACGAACTGATGGTATATTTTGTTTGTTCTTTTTTTTTTCTTCTCCATACAAATATTCAAATACGATATCGACAAAAAAACACGCACAATTGATCTTTCAAGCTGCTCTATTCTTACAAAAGCAAGTCTGCGTTTAATTAAAATTTACAATTAAATTGATAACGTGCGACTGAAAAATGCAAATCCTCGCGATAGTATCGAAAGATTTATTCTGTGAAATCCTGAGAGCATCCATACACACGTATCATTTGGAATAGAAGAACAGCTGAAAACAATGTGCTCATTTATCTTAGAACCAGGTCACGTCGCGCGCGCGCGCGCGCGACTGTGCCTGTGCCGCCTGTGCATACAAGTGCATTTGTAAAATCATAAAAGCTTTATATTTAATCAAGGATTCAGATTGGGCTTAGAAGCTTTTGACGAGCAGAGATAAAAAGCATTGTTAAAATTGTTATCAGCGATCAGTAAAAGTGGCTGCTCGAGGAGAAGGAAGTGGCGTTCAATTAAGTGTTCGCTCTGTTATTTGTTCGCTGCACGTATTGTAATATTTGCACGAAACCTTCGAATTTCTCAACATAAGCCAAAGGTCTTTGATAACACGGACATTGCTAAGTAAATAATCCCGGCAACTTAATTTCACATTTCATTAAATTCGTCGGCTAACAGTGTGCATTTAAAGCTAATTTGTACTTTCTTAAAGCACGACATAACGCTTGAAGCGACAGGGGCGTATGAATAATATTGCTCGGCTACGTCTATCAAGCACACGCGATATTAGCTTTAAGCTCTATGCACTCCGCAAAATTCCAATTCACCTTATTGATTAAAAAATACAAGCGTCCGTCAACTCCGTCGTAATGCGAATGGACATTTAAATGGCACTGTAAGCTCCGGCATTGCAAGCCGCGCGAATTATTATTAGCATTCGTATCTTCGCCAAATTTATGCACTCGGCATTGATCATCGATAAGGTCTAACACGGACATCCGATGTAAGCTGTCGTGTAGTGGCAACGGCGACGTGGAAACAGCCGGGATAGTGCGGAGCGATTACCAAGATTGTCTATTTCGTTATCTCGGCAAATAACATAATGGACAGCGCTCGAGCGAATGTGTAATTCGCGTCGGTCGCACGTGGGGTTATAAAGTAGCGATTGGCCTAGCAACGATTGTTTGATTTCTTCATTCACTTGTCAAATTGCAGGTACACGATGGTTCGGCGCTGTTCTCGGCGCTGCTCTCGGCGCTGCTCTCGGCGACGGATTCGGTCGAGGAGCGCAAGTGCGAGGGTCGTCGGCAAGGACGAGGAGCGGTACGAGGAAAGTACGAATGAAGATATACGCACACAAGGAACGTACGGCCGATCCAGAAAAATATGGACCCGGACATCCGGAGTCCTCGGGTATGATGGCGACGGGTATGAGGTCGATAAGCGCCCACGGGGATGGCGACGGGGGATAGGGTGTGCGCGTGGGCGGTTGCGTGCTCGTAGGACGGCACAAGGTTGTTCACATCACAGGGCGCAGCTTAAATAAAGCCTTCTCATCCAAAATCCATAGTGCGCATTGGACGGGCGGGGTGCGCGGAGGGGGTCGCGCGGGTTGTGGTTGGTCGGGGAGGGGGGATTGGGAGGGGGGGAGTGACGGCGGTGACGGGAGGCCGCGGAAGGTCGCGCCCGCGAGCCTCACCTGCGAGGCAGAGCAGCAACAGCAGAGGCAGCGGCGGTGGTGGCGGCGCCGCCGAGGACGACGGGGGCGGCCAGTTGACACTTTGGGCCGACATTGTCCCATATTCGGGGGCGTCGGTCAGCGGCCCGGACACGGCACCATCTCCTCGCGCGCCAGCAGGTCGCGCGGCTCGCTCCTTCTCGGGCTCGGCTCGCACTGCCGTTCTCGCGCCGCCGGAAGGAGTAGATCGCCCCCTTCTGCTTCTCGTCTGCTGGAGGTGAGTCGTGAGCGGGCGCGCGCGCGCGCACGCGTTCTGCGGTCGGGACAACGGGGAGAGGGACGGCCGCGCGAGTCGAGCGAGTCCGGCTATGCGCACGCACATTTACAACCACCTACGCGGAGGGTTTTGCCTCGAGGTCGCCGCTTCCTCGCACCCTCCTATCATCCACCCTTATCCTTCGATCCTCCGTACTGTGACTAGGGGCCGAATGAAGGGTGAATTGGTAGAGAGAGGGGGGAGGGGCGATCGGATGAGCGAGTGAAATTGCGGGGCGTGGGGAGGGGAGCAAGAGGAACTGGAGGAGCTGGAGGGCCGCTGGGGGAACCATCTATATTATGATTATAGGATTGGTTTCGAAGCGACTCGCGCCTGGAGATGCTCGAGTGAACTCCTCGCGGTGACGAGGACGTTGTTCGCGACTTCGTTGGCGAGACGACGAGCCGAGCCGACAATCACGGCCTGCGATTCGTAATATGTGTCATTACACTTACGAGACGTCTCTCGTTAAAGTATATAATCGCATTAGCGGACGTGATATTCGCGTTGCGTGCGAAGCTGCAATTTTTCACAGGTTGTTTGTACATACGGAAAACGAACCGACACGCACACATTTATGCGCACGCACGCCCACGTGGGCGTGTATGTTGAAATTGATGTTGAAGTGCATTGAGAGGAACTTTTAACCGGGAAAGCTTGTACTTTCTATGCCCTGGACAATATTTCACTTTGGTCTAAGGCTGGAGTAGCGATTATTGAAGAAAATGAATTTACTTGCTTCGTAATTAACACTTTATTACCAAGAGTAATTAATTTTTTTGCAATTTTTCTTTCTTTCTTTTAGCTTACGTAAAGCTTACTATTGTTTTCTCAAACCTCCAATAACGTTTATTTCAAACATATCGAGTCGCTAAAAATTAATTATAATTTGCCATCGCACAACTTATTCATCTCTTTGATTAAGAAAATCGCCTTTATAAAATTGCAAATACAATTCATTCAAATTTATTATATAATACGTGGCATTACTGCTCGAATGAAACAATATTCTGCAAATTGTGATTTAAGCGACAAGTGCAATAAGTGTTCGAATTTTATCCTACGCTTTCATTACAATGTTACTGCGTTACGTGTTTGAATATGTTTTGGTTGAAAATGATAATGAGAGGATATCGTAAACATGATTTAATGTTTATGATTTATCGTACTATGATTTAATAATATTTCATATATTGCTCTATTTAACAATAAATTAATCCATTTACATCATCAACAAAAATAAAAGCAAAAATGCAAAAAAATGTAAATAAACGTGATCCTTAATCGATTCATATTATTATTTATTATTTTTCTTCAATAATTTTTAATAAACTATTTTTATGATTTTTATGATATATATATATATATATATATATATATTATTTTTTACATTGGTATAAATAATATTATTGTAAAATGTGTATTTTGCAGTAAACGAAAAATACTCAGCATTCATATTCATAAAAGTTAAAAAAAAAAAAAAAAAAAAAAAACGATACTGAAACGTAACGATAAAACAGAACTCGATTGCCCTTCAAAAGAATCCATAGAACTATTATTATTTCCAAGAAATGAAAAATCTATTGATTTCCCTTTCTACGAATAATTGCTTTAATACATTCATAATTGCTCCTAAAGATAAATTCAATTTATCGACGAAAAAATGAATTCTGAAAAATAATTACTATAATGCAGTTGAAATAAAAAACATCTGCATATTATTCATAATATTCATTATATTATTACATAGTAATTTCCCACAAATGTAATCAACACTGCGTTGATCATATCATTACAAATAAAGTAAGATTTATCTAATGGAATGAATTTTAATGGCATTTTTGCAAACTCTAATAGAAACTTATATAATATTATTCATTATAATTGTAAACTAACTCGGTTTGCTACAATTACGTAGATCTACTTTGTGCATCAATTTCTCTATTTTTGTAAAACTCCAACAGTATATAATTATACCTACAATACCAATTTTTATTTTTTTTTATATTCTACATAAAACACAAAAGTATTTATTGTGATTATTATTATTATTACTTATTATTATTTCTGTTTTTGTTATTATTGCTAATATTGTTAAACTGAACGTGACATTAATTATATAACGGCATTTTATAGTGATTTTTTTATTAACGACAAAGGAATTAGATTCATTATAGATTAAAAAAAAAAAAAAAAAAAAAAAAAAAATTTCTTAATTAATATGCGGATATGCAATTCGGATATTCACTACGTGACCAATCGTACTAATCACGCATAAATAAACATCTTCACCTTCGTATAATTGCTTTCCTTCAATGTCACTGTCCTTCACTAATGCAATAATACAGCCAAGAGTGAAATAAGATGTTAATCGCATAAAAACTTTGATAAGCATCTTCATTAATAATTTTAAACGAAAGAATGGTGTAAATTTTAAAAAATTAAGTGACTTGATTTAAATATCACTATATACGTCTCTTATATCATCTTGTCTCCTTTTTTTCTTTTCTTTTTTCAAAGATATAGAATAATAGCATTATTGTTTTGCTTTTCAATTTACTTCATTAAGAATGATCGATCTTTGATTAAAAAAAAAAAAACTTAGAATTAATTAAATATATATATATATATATTAATATGTACATGTTTGTATGTGTTTTTGCTTTTGTGTTTGTGTTTGTGTTTGTGTGTGTCGGGGGGGGGGGGGGTATATATATATATAATACGATATAGTTAATTGAAAATTCTTTTTTTTCCTAGATGTTAAGTACTTTCCATTAACATTTATATATTGTATTCGTTGGATCTTTATAACTAATAGATAATTATTCCGAAAGCTGATAAGATTTAAAATCAATATGTTTCATCATTTTTAAGATTTTCGAAAGCACATGGAAAATTTGCTTGGAAATTTAATAATTTGCTAATTACATGATAATACACAATTTTATTAAACATTGTCTATGTCTAGAAAGAAAAAGTTTATTTTAAATAAATTTATTTACGTAATAGAGTGAATATCATAAATTTAATATAATGCAAATTATTATAATACAGTGATAAATAAAAATATTAATTTTCCCGTATACAATTGAGGGATTGAAATAAATTTCTGATCGAATAAGTCGCTAATTATTAAAATTACTTATAATTTTTTCTCGCGGTGAAAAATTTGAATGTAGTATTAAACAGAAGTTTTAATTAAATTGTATAGAGTACTTCCCAGCAGTGTCAAAATAAATTGAAAGAGAAAATAATTATTTAACTTGAATAATGACGTAAACGATTAAAAAAAATACATATATTTTGGCAAAAAAGGAGTAATTTTATTTTTCATTTTTTTTCCTTTTATATTATACCTTAAAAATTTATTATTCACTAGCAGGTACAAAAGACTATTACGTACATTGAAAAAATGCTGATGAAAGAATACTCGAGTTGAACATGATTTTATAAGTTGAAATGCAATTGAATATTGCACAACTTTAATGCTAGATCACGGCATTTCAATTTAACACGGATGTTTTTCAATGAAATCTATTGTTTATATAAATTATTGTAAAACAAAAATCGAAATTTATTTTACGTAAAAACAATATTATAATGCAAATTATTAAAATTATTGTATTTAATTTGTTCGTAAAAATGTGATTTATTCATCTTTAATCTGTAAAGTTTGAAAGATTAAAT